GAAAATGGGAGAAGTTGAAAACGATTATCGCGAAGAACTATAAACTGTGGGAAGAAGTTAAAGTTTCAAATTTTGAATCTTAGTCTACTTTGGAAAGAAGCCTCTGACAAGGCACATATGACAAAGATCGCCTTTCTGAGTAAAAAGATTACGAATCTTCTATGGATTGTTATATCCGGCGGTTTCGGTCAGGTAAGAGGCTTGTGTTTTTAAGGGTATTAACGTCAATGGACGCGATGAACAGTTGAGTGATGTCATGGTTTTGGTAGATTGCAAATTATGATATAAGTTTTTGATATGACTCTTAATTTCTCTATTTTTTTTTTGGTATGTTCTTTAACATATACGGTATGGTTATCTAATCTATGCGTGTCAATCATGTTTGGATGTAAGCACATCTTAAAAGGCTTTTACGGCATCTTTTCCGACCATGGGATTGCAACACTGCAGGCAATGAATAATTGTGAATATGAATAATTGTGTAGTAGATATATAACTAAACCGGTAGCTGATTTAAATAGAGATGTACCAGAAAACTGGTTAACTAAAATTTGCGAGCCAATCGAACCAAGAACTGAGAATTAGGTTTTGATTCATGGTGGTTGAAACAACGAACGCCGCCAATTTCGCCGGTATATTCTGCAAAATCAATCCTTTACATAAATGATTAAAGTTGTTGAAGTGATATTTCGAAAAAGAACATGAATGATTCAACGAAAATGGCGAAATTAAGAATTTAAGTTTTCAAATACAGCAATGAGTTTGACACTCGATTAACATCCATGAAATATTATATCTAAGCTATGTTGCGCGGATTTGCATCAAAAATTACTCCAGAAAACGAAAACAGGATCCAATAACAACAAATCTGGAAAAGAAAAAATAAAAATCAAAAAAATTTGGACTATTTCTCGATTTGTGCGTGTCATCCTTGCGCAGGGGCCATGCTAATCTTCTCTGTATCGTTCCAATTTTATCGGATGTCCCCGAAGGGACAATCACCTTCTTGACTCCGCCGGGTTATAAACTCAGCTTCCGCTTCTTCGATAAGCGATGTGGGAGAAAACAGATAACTAGGGAAGATGATGACTGATTATTGGGCCTTTCAGTGAACTCTATAGGCCCATATGATATTCACACACAGTCAACATGGACCAATCTCAACGGCTAATCAACGTAATTGTCTGCTCCTAATAATTTCTGAAAACAATTTCAAATCTTGGTTTCTCGCGCCCACATCAAAATCAGTGAAAGGTAATGATCCTTGCGTGGTCTCTGTATCTATCTCTTCTCCGATTCATGAGTTTCGAGATCCTTTGATTGATTCTTTATGTGTTCTTCTGCAGATTCCGTTCCTGGATCGTTGTTCTTCCTCGGAATCGCAGGTAAACTTCTTCAGGTTTCAAATTAGTGAACCTTAATTTCCAAAACATGTGTGCGCATCATCCTCTTAGTTTCCCCGTAATCTCTACTTTTGTAGATCTCTGGAGTCTTTACAGAGTCCATTGTCATCGCTAAAGCTTTCTCCCACAGGCTTAACTTAGCTAATCTGGCTGAGTAAGTGCAGATTGCTTATCACCGTTAGCTCAAGAAAGGTGATTTCGTTGATGAGCTAGAGCTCTGTGGAGAAACTTTTTTTTTTTTTTTTCTGTGGAGAAACTTTCAAGAAGCTTGTTGGTGATCTCAACAATTCTCCTTGAAGAGATCTTTGATGCTCTTAAGAATCAGACCGTTGATTTGGTTTTGAGTGTTCATCCTACTCAGTCTCATTGCTTCAGAATATGCTAAGGATATTACTCCTGATGACAAGCAGGAGCTGGACGAGGCTCTACAGAGAGAGGTAAAAGCCTTCTTCTTCACTATTGACTTGAGGTTTTAAAATCAATCCTCAAGATGAGATGAGTTACTTCCATGAAACTATCTGGAAAGGTGTTCCTAATTAAGTTTCTTGGGATCGGGGAACGTGTTCCATTACGTTTCTATAACTCTCTCCTCCTCTCTTAGCTTCTTAGCTCTGTCATTTTGTTGACTCAAGTTACAATATTTGTAGGTAATCCAAGGGTGACACCTAAAGTCACTAGGGATGTTTGTTTGCTAGCTAGAATGATGGCTGCTACTATGTACTTTATAACCGAATTCAACATCTTATGTTTGAGGTTTGATATCAATTTTTCTTTCTTTCCGGTTTAGTCTAATATCTAATGTTTAATTATAGGAGATTGTTAAGGTGGGTGTGTTATATCAACTTTTTGAATTTAACTGTTTTAAGAAATTCGTTTCGTTTTTACCCGATTTGCTGCCAAGATAGAATTTTAGAACACTGCTACAGTGCTACGATGTATGTATTGCCTTGATTCATTTTTTCATTTTTCTTTGGTAGTTGTCTATGTGGAGTTGCAATGACGAGCTGCGTGCTGATGAACTTCACGTAAACAGGAGGAAAGACGCTGCAAAACATTATATAGGTACGAACAGAACCTGTCTTGGAGCTTTTTTTTTATGTCTAAGCTTTAATATGGAACCGTTCATTTATTGTCTTGCAGGGTTCTGGAAGTCAATCACTCCAACAGAGCCGTACTGTGTGATTCTTGGTGATGTAAGGGACAAACTCTACCTCACACGCGATGTGCTCGTCAATTGCACAGCAATGGAACCTCTGATGTCCCTGAAGAAGCTACTTTCAACAAGTTGGAAGAGGTAACTTTATTGCAAACTAGAATTTATTAGTTTCCGGTTTACTAAACAGATGTTTTTGCTGTACTTCTTGGAGCCTCTTGAGCTTTGTTTCTGATCACTATGTTCAGATGGTGACCGTCCAATAGCTAATGGAAGCCTTTTTGATTTATTGAGTCAAGTCTCAACCTTTGGACTATCTCTTGTTAGGCTTGACGTAAGGCAAGAATCTGACCGCTACACCGATGTTTTGGATGCTATCACAACCCATTTAGACATAGGATCTTACAGAGACTGGTCTGAAAAACGCCGCCAAGAATGGCTTTTGTCTGAGTTAAGTGGCAAGCGTCCACTCCTCGGTTCTGATCTTCCAAAAACTGAAGAAATCGCCGACGTTCTCGACACGTTTCATGTCATTGCCGAGCTACCATCAGACAGCTTTGGTGATTACATCATCTCCATGGCAACATCTCTTTCTGATGTATTAGCTGTTGAGCTTTTACAGTTTGAGTGCCAGGTGAAACGGCCTTTGAGAGTTGTTTTGCTTTTCGAGAAGCTAGCGGATCTAGAATCAACTCTTGCAGCAGTTGCTAGGCTCTTTTCTGTTGACTGGTAGAAGAACAGAATCGCTGCTGGTCTACAGAACACTGGTTGAGTGAAAACAGAGATGAGTCTTTCTGTTTCTCTACTCTGTTTTTTTTTTCGTTTACTGATTCGGAAATAATAAACTTGCGGTTGGATTTTCTTGATTTATTTATGTAATCCACCGTCAAAAGTGTTGATCTTTGTGTACGAATAACTCTTTCGGGATCATGAACACGTGCTCTGTTTTTCTCGGATGCAACAAAACAGAGCAGGAGAGAATCTTTTATTGTTTGTTTCTCTCACCCAACGGTTTGATTTCGGTTTGGTTTGTTCGATATATTCGGTTTGGTTTGTTCGATATATTCGGTTTGGTTTGTACAATATCAAATAATAATTTAATAAAACATTATGGTTTAGTTTTGCCACATGCTTCCATTTTTATTGTTTCGGTTACGGGTCTTTGTTCTTTGTCGTCTACTCAACTTTCACACATGTCGACTGAGTACGTATGTGGTCCCAAAAACGGCAGACATGTTTGCTAAAAGAGGCCACTCAAGAAGGAAAGTGGTGTAAAGAAAACGACACGGTGTTTGGGTGACATCTATAGACACACCTTGCATTTCTTCGATTCGGTAACGCCCCAACGGCTGTATTTATTGTCGGGAATTTATAGCGTACATGTACGGTGTACCTGTTTTTTTTACTAATACGTACTTTATGCGTAATAAGTACATTTTTAATTTAACTCTCAAAGCAAGGTCAAAAAGTTCACACTCGAAAAGTCGGTGAATGTCAATCACGCGCCTCTCAACTGATTTAAAGGAAGAAAAAGACAAGGGTGATTCAGAAATATTTTTTTATGATTAATAAGTAGGCTTTTGTGATATTGTACTCAATTTTTTGCTAAAAGTCGAACATGACCAAAGAAAATGTTATCCACAAAAGCGAGAGAAAAAAAATGAAGGATAAATACATGTCAACAGACTATGAATATAGGGCACCGACTACAGCCGGCGCAGGATAGCACCGGCCATTGACCGTAAAGTTCATAACCTTCCAACTCTTCTTTCATTTATTTTGGTTTTCAGTTAACATTTTTGGGTGTTATGTTAATAATTATTTTTATTTTACAATAAGTTATTAATTTAGTTAGATTATCTTTTCTTTGGTCAAAATTTAATTAGATTATCTTTTCTTCTCAATCCCTTGAACTTGAAGAGATGGCAACTAACACATAAATGAGCAAGGAATGAACAAAACAGTCGCTTGCCTTACAAACAAAATCAGTCTCTAATTAATCCGAATCTCTTTTTTATATGTTATTTCCTCTGTTTCTAAATAAATATTATTTAGTATTTTTTATTAAAAATGAATATTACTTTAGAGTTTCAATACAATTTTGAAGTATATATTAATTATAAATATATTAATTTTATAAATAATTTTAGTTTCTAAAATTATTTATTGGTTGAATAGGTGTAATTAATATGAATATAATGCATTCTAAAAGAATAATCAGTGTGAAAAATGTTAAAATACCATTCTTTGTGAAATGAAAAGAGCAAGTGTTAACGACTTGTCGACACAAGATGTTAACGACTTAACAGTTACAAAAAAAAACAACTTTTAAATAACCTATCACCCTTTTCTGTCGTTAAAAGTTAAATAATATTTGATAACAGTAATATATTATCTTATTACAAATAATAAATTATATCAAAATACACTATTTTTAGATGGGGTAAATATATTTCACAATAGTAGTAAACTCACCTGTTCCCCTATTTTTAGATAGAGTCATTAATAAATTTGAGCCAAATGTACGAAAAGAAAATGCATTACGGAAAATGAATAAAACTATATATTTTTATTAATAAAAATGTTGTAAAAAAAGGGAGAATAAAAATGACAAGATGGTTCCACTTTCTTCTTGGTCTCACTAAAGCTCTATAAGTAACAAAGAACTGAAAATGAAGAATCCAAATCATCCTCTTTTGCCCTTTTCAGTAAGCCCCTTCTTCAATCACATACAAACTTCTCCTATGTACACAGAGTAATCTCCAACCAGTAACATCTCTCAATACCTAAACAAGTGAAGCTAGAAGAAGGAGCCAATGCAAATCTCAATCTGCAGAGAAAAATGAATGGAAAAAAGAGAAGAAGAACAGAGACAGAGACAGATCATAGGGCAATGAAAGAGGGGGAATGAATGAACAAATCATAATAAAGAGCTGACACTCTACACTAATGGGGTTCCTTGGTAATGAAGCATCTTAAGAAGTTAAGTAGGATTATTGAGAAGTTTCTTAACGGTAATGTGGAGTCCTAGAAGAGTGAATTTTTAACCGCTATAGTGCCTCACTGAGTACTCCAATACATCTTTGCTTGGACAGACAATCTCCTTTACTCGAGTACCGTTCTTGTATATCTTCACTGTTGGTACAACCCTCACGTTCTCTGCATTACCTATCAAAGGACATTTATCTATGTCCACCTAACCAACAAACAATAAAGATTTAGAGGCAATAGCTATCTACTCTATAATGAAATGCTTTTAAGTGATGTGACTTCACCTTGAGGAAGTGTATAGAGGGATAACGAGTACATAGCGAGTCCATATATGGAGATATCTGCTTGCATTGATGATCAGAGGCCGTTGAGAAATGAATAACAGAAACTCCTGAATTCAATAACAAGGTATCAGGAAACAATATCACTGTAAGAAGCAGAAAACTAGACAACCATATGACATGTTTCTTTACCTGGTAGATTCATGGCGGCTTTAAACTGTTCACGACTATAAACTTCCTCAACTTCACCACCAAACTCCATATTCAATACTTCTTCTCCTCTAGATTTCTTCAATGCAACTTGAGCATGAAATAAAGATTCAGCAACTTCCTTGTCATGAGGTAGTTCCCTTATCAAGGCTTCATAATCAGTCACTGCAGCTGCCCATCTCTCCATCTACACTTCCAACACATAAAGCTCAAGCACCACTCTAAAACAAACTTGAAACCATACTAATCGTTTATGTACCTTGTTGTTTGAAGCAGCTCTCCTCAGAAGAGGCTTTGTGTAATGTGGTTGGAAACGCAGCGCTTGGTTACAATCTTCAACCGAACGTTCCCACATCCCAAGCTTAAACCAACAAGCAGCTCGGTTGCAATACAAAATAGCGTTGCAAGGATCAAGCCTAAGGCCTTCTGCATAAGCTGAGCTAGCTTCCGTGTATCTCTCTGATTTATAAAGATCGTTACCACGAACACGAGCCCTAGCAACCAATGTAACAGTATTGTGTAACATAGCAACTTCATTGCTTCGTGGGTCGATTTTGCTAGCTTTCTCAGCAGCCATCACCGCGTTGTCAAACCTTCCTAAAGCCATCTCGATTTGAGCTTTGACAAAGTACCTATAAGCTTCACAAGCCATGCCAGAGAACCGAGTCTGCGAACAAGATGATGGAAACGGCTCTACTCTGGGAACTTCTAATAGCTTTGATTGTGCATCATCAAGCCGGTGAAGTTTCAAGAGTGCTTCTACTTTACACATACCTAGCTGTAGATTTTCAGACATAAACAGTTTAAATAACAGTTCTGATTCTATGTAATCCGACATAAGTTGAGTTCTTACATGAGGAGAAAAGTCAGCTCCAGCGACAATAGCTGCATCTACTTCCATCAAAGAAGCTTTCCAATCACCAAGCTTCCTCGCATCTGCGCATTTGCTCATATGTTTCTCCACTGCTTCAAGCTTCTGCAACTCCATAGGATCTGATGGTTTCCCAAGATAACAAAGATGCTTCCTTGCAATATCAACCTGTCCTAATCTGCAACCAAGTAAAAAAACAAAGAACACAATATTGAAGTTTCAGACAACATATAAAAACATGTCCTAATTTACAACCAACTAATTCAGACACACATTAAAGTTATTCAGACAACATATAAAAACAAAATGGCAACAGCTTTGTCTCCTTCAAAGCATCAAGAAGGTACCTAATAAGCAATAAGGCCAGACGGTGATGAGCTCTTCCATAGTTTGGATCCAATCTCAGAGCTTCTTCACACTCCTTCACAGCTTCACCGACTCGAGCAAGACCCGTCAACGCAGCAGCACGGTTGCTCCGGTAAGCAGCGTTTGTCGGTGATAAAGCTATTGCTCTGTCATATAGCTTCAAAGCCTCACTGAACAGACCTTTTCTGTACATGTCGTTGCCTACTCTCTTGACCTCCTCAGGATCCGAACCTAAGATCGCTTTCTCTGTTGCTGTAACCGGACTACTTCTGCTGTAGCCACCGACAGTAACCGGGGAAGTCAGAACTTGTCGGGGAGGGATTGGTTTCGCCGGAGAGACGCTGCTTCCTCCGCCTCGCATTATGCTACCGTGGCCGTACGTCCCGGTGCCGGATCCGAGAACGTCGCTTCTGGAGCGGCTTTGCGTCATTCCGGTGATTTGGATCTTGCCGGAGGGACAAATGTTTCCGGTGGGAAGTACATTCGCCGCCGTGGAAGGAGAAGTAGCAGAGGAGGAGGAGGAGAGTGGTTGTGAGTTTGAAGTAACTGAGTCGGATCTCGTTCTTGGATTCCCGCTACTTGACCCGGATTGACTACTACCGGATCTTCCGGTAACCGGAGCATGTCGAATACGACCGGTTACAGATCCGGAAGAGTTAGAACTGCTGCTACTTGTAGTGGTTGTGGTTGTGGTGAGTCCACGTGGCTGAGTACGAAGCGGAGAAACCGGAGAACCGAGATCTAGCTCACGGAAGTCCGGTTTGTCGATGTCGGAGGTTAATGAATCACGGAGACGGTTATCAGATTCAAGAACCGGTTTAACTGAATGTGTCATTTTTTCAAAAGAAACACGAACCAAAACGGTAATCAGTGAATGATCGATGGAAGAGAGACGTAATAGAGGTTTATTGGTATTAGCGTCAATGGAGAGGGGGAAGAGTGGAGATGAAAGGAGGATTAGATACTCTGAAGAAAGGCATGGAAGGGAAAGTGAAAGAGATGGGGGGCTCTCGTGATCTTAAAAGGGTGAAGCAAAGAATGAATGTGAGTGTCTAGAGAGAGAGAGAGAAAGTGTTGTTTGCCAAGAGAGAGAAGGTTCACAGAAGAAGAGGAGTGAAGATGGAGAAGCAGACCGGATATTCACAATTAAATAATACATACATTACTCTAAGATATATTAATTAATTTTTTTTTTTAAAGGTTAAATAATTTTGATAATTTTGTACATTAAAAATTGGAAAGCCAAGGGTATTAATAAAGTTTAAATTTGTCAGGATTGAATTAACGAACTTTTGAAGTTATAGGTTAAATTTCATACCATATGGAGTAGTTCCAAATAACTAATATTGCATTTTGTTAAGTAAAAAAACTAATATTGCATTTTTGTATAATACTTCTATATTAACCTAAGTTTAAAGTTCATGAATATGTCTTTGTTTTATATGATATTTTATTAGTAGTAATACAAAATATAAGTATTTTCTTTATAAGATATGTTTTTTGTAAGAAAAAACCTGCGCCAATTTTATAAGATCATAAAATGAGTAGGAATTAGCTATGTATTAAATGGTGTACAGAAAATAACATTTCTTTTTCACTTGCTGCTTCACGAGATATGTTTATATTTTTTTCTTTTGCTTTATCTTTCAATTTTTCGCTTTATCGTTTAATCAAAAAAAAGTTTTTTTTTGTTACATAAAAAAAAGGTTTATAAAATCGTTAGTATATAGTTTTATAAGTATACTTTTAACGAATTTTTTCTACTTCGCTTTTGGTACTGTTCGGTTTTTCTTTGTACTTTGGCGTTTACAATATCAAAAGGCCCACTCGCGGTTTATGGGAAGTGACGTCTACGCTTCTTGAAAATCTATTGTGTTGGGTCCTAGAAACATATATGTCGATAACAAACATGTAATATACATCACTTATTTTTATATCTAACTGTTTTTTAGAATAACGCCTTTGTTTATTTCTGGTTAGGTCAATTTAAGGTTGATTACAGCGAATTTAGAAAAAAAAACATTACTTTCCAAAAGCCGCCAAATGTGTCAACACTAGTTTAGTTTTTATCATCTTCGTCTCAAAATAATATATATTTTAGAGGTTTTACATTTATTAAAAATATATAAAGTTTTATAATAAATAAATTATTTTCTGTGTTTAATTATTTCCTATAAATTTTAACCAATCGAAATTCGGTAAACATAATTAATATCTTTGAAATTTACAATTTTTCATTATTATCTATATTAAAAATATAAAACATAAATCTTTTAGAAACAATTTTTTTTTAAACACTAGGGTAAACCCGCCCTACGGGCGGGCGGGAGAATAAATAAACTAATAATATAAATTTACTTTTAATTAAATATACTATTAAGGTTCATAATTTTTTTACAATAATTTTATATATTTTGAAATCCTTAACTTTTCTAATTATTACAAAAATATAAATATAAATATTTAATTTCTCGTAATGTTTATTTTAGTTTAACTATACTAATAGGATACACATATTTTTTTAAATTACAAAACACTATGAAACTTTAGATATTTTGAAAATTTTATGTTTATTATTAAAATTTTACTATATATTAATTTTAAATATTTATTTATTTGATTTCTCTTATTATAATTATCAACTTTTACGGTTAAAATGGTTTGATGTTATGATATTGAACTTTAATTTCGTCTCATTTAACTATAATGTTAAAATCTAATGGGCTATATTTTTGTTGACAGAGTGAATATTTCACAATATGATGTTGTTTCTACCATTATTGTCGTTATCGTTGGTAGGTTATTTTGTATTATGTTACACACTTTGAGCGGAATATTTATCTATTTATAATTTTACAGCTTAACAATTGTTTTTATATTGATGTGGTTTGTTTAAAATTTTCTATCAAACAAATGCTCTATTTTTCCTTTAATTAGTGTAATTTATTAGTATTGTGTTGATTTGATTAACAAAAATAAAACCTCATTATCTCATGTAATTGACCAATTTCTTCGACACGGAAATTGAAACATGAGTAATGTATATTCTATTTAAAAAATTTCAATTGATTTATCTTGTAATGTTTTTCTTCTTCATGTGATTTATAATTTGTTTGTTTTTTAAAGATATGAACCTTATATGTGTTTTTATTTGTTACGTTGTATCTCGTTATTCTTTGAATACTAAAATTGGGTCTGTTCTAGATATTTGATTGGATACAATAGCTTAGATTTGTGTTGTTATCATTTTTCTTTTACAATTTTTTAGTTGTTTTGATATTCATGCAAAGTTATTATTTTATTACTTTTCCAACTATTTTGAATCTTAGTGTTAATTAATTATTAGATCTTTTTTAATAATAGTTTCTATTTAATATTTTTTACTTAAGTTTATAGATGAAAAGATGAAAAAACTTTGAGATGCACTATTTTCTTTCAACTTGGTTTGATACATATATATATATATATTATAGTGTTTGTCTGTGATACGCGACGGATATAACATATTTGTATATTTGTTAGCTGAGATAAACTTTTTTGTTTGTTATAAGTGTTGTATGCTTATTCGGTTATCATTTGGAAATAAATAAGTGGATGAATGTTTCTGGCTGTTTTAAAATAATTGTCTGTGAAAAGGTAATTGACGAATGACTACTCTAATAAGAATTTGATATGTTGAGTGAGGTTGTATAATCGCAAACATGAGTTACTTTATACTCCCTCCGTTATATATTAAGTGTCGTTGTAGAGAATTTTTTGTGTTATAAAATAAGTGTCGTTTTCGGTTTTCAATGCAAAATTTATTAATTTTATTATGTAATTTGTTTTTCTATTGGTTAAAATATGGTTAGGTGTATGGGTAATTGTGTTTTTATATAGAAAATATGTAAAATTAATTGTTTCCTTAATCCGTGTGCATAGCTGTAGAGTGACACTTATATTAAAACAGAGGGAGTACAATATAATTTTTTTTTTTTGGTGAAATATCTGTCAACTTAAAATTTGTGCATATTCAAAGAACTCGTTTTCGTTGAGATATAAGACAATTGGAGATATAAAAGTTGTGGTGGTATTATTTTATAGAGAACTTTGTGAGCTTTTAAAGGTATCACTATTGTTGGAACTTGTAAGATAGGAATCTTAAGTGCGTAAAGTAACTCTTTGTAATTTTTTATGTTGTATGGACTTCGGTAAATTCTTTGTTTGGTTATTGATCAGTGGTTTTGTGAAGGAAACTCTCGTGCACATTTTATGTCGTTGAAGCCGGTTCTGAGAACACTTTTGGTATGAGTTTCCCGACGTGGCTGTTCCAAGCTTGCCAATTTCTCCACAACTTCAAGTCTTGACATGGGTACTGTTTGCGCATTGTAGAACAATCCCTATCAATAAATAGTTTTGGTGAAACCACGTAAACGTATCAAAATCATTATTGATAGATGCAAAGAACCAACATCAACTATAATGAACACACCTGATGCTCAAAAAAACCTTTCCAGCAAACTGAAGGTAGCTTATGCGTCTAAAGAACTCTCAAACTCTAAATCCCAGATCTTACATATGTATTATCCTGCAAATTCATGTCACTCATATACAATATATGTTTAAGCTATATTATCTTAATTTTGTTTGCAATACAGAAAAATATTTAACTCTATGACGGCTTATAAGAGATTCTTAAAGAGACTCATTGTGACGGACCACTGAAGTAGTATTTGGATAGGAATGTGGTCAACATATACGTATATATAAAAATACACAGTTTTTCTCTTTTGGAGGATCAGTTACAATAGTCTTAACAGCAGTTATCTCATCAATTATATATGTGTGAGGATTAATATTAGTATTTTATAATGCTATACTGATGAAACAGATTATAGGAGGAATACCTGGAAGTTGGGTGTTGGTATTGGCTTGACCAGCTTCAGGTATTAGAGATGCATGTTCAGTTAACTCATCAAGAGCGGTAGAGTCACTGAATCGAATCAGCAGAGAGGAGTCTGAGAGCTTGGAGCTTTGATTACACCAATAAACATGCCTATAACATGTTTAAATAAAAAAATCACAAATAGTTTTTTTAAATAAATCTCACAGAAGTAGGTTTACTGAATTCCGAATATAACAGTTTTATAATGTTTAATTCAAGAAATCTATGAACATCAGCTTAAGAACACATCTAACATAGCTTCAAAGACACTTTGAAAATGAGTTTATGAACATAAAGCACACTAAACATGAGTTTGAGAACATAACGGACTTTGGTTTACCTTCGAATCCAGTAAGAGCATATCAAGAAACATTAGTTCTCCTCCACGTCTGACATTCCTGGCTTCTCAACACCGGAGAAACCACACTTGGACGGTGGAGAAGCATACCAACTCTCAGATCAGAAAGGAAGATGGATGACTTAGCCATTTTGCAGGGAATCTGTATATAGATTTAGTGTTTTTACAAATTATGAGGATGTTTTTCAAGTGAAGAAAGTAAACCTTTTTATAGATGAAGAATAGACCGCCTTGTAGATGGATAACTCACAATCAATGTCAAGATCGTGCTACACGTCGATGGAGTTAAGAGACGAAGGCAGCGCTGAATCTATAACCAGACTGTTCGGGTTGAGTAAAGTAGAAGGCTAAAAGACGCTGTGTGAGACCGCATTATTATTTTGCTCAGTCACAGATTTCTCAGAAAAACAGAAAACCTAGTTACGTCATGAAGGGGATGAAGACATAGGGCCTTTTGAGGCTGTGGGTTTTAATTCCTATGTTTCACAAAAGCCCACAAACTCCCTCCCTTTCTTTTAATGAAACGCCGAGTTTTGATGGGATGGGACAGATGTCACAACCAGAAAAGAGTATTTGATGAGGTGGCAGTATAAGGATGGATAAAACTATCCTTTATATAATAAGATGTATCATTCTAAAACAGAGGGGGTAGTGTTGATTAAGAAGGCATTCGATGAATAAGTTCATTGTATTAGCAATTAAATGAAAATGAAGAGATGTTATACAAGTCACAGGCACAGAAATCCACTTTAAGGTTACTTGTAAGAAGTTCGCTCCTATAATAACACAAATTCCGAGAACAAGTTTTAATGTTTCAAAGTCAA